ACTCTCAGTTGCAACATAAGCAGTCAGGTTATGGAGAAGAGTCTTTGATGGGGCCAAAATAGTACGGGGAGGCAGTATTGAAGACTGAAGACCTTTCTATTCTATGAAGCCTTAGAGCGGGGCTAGTTTGCAAGTTTGCAAGTTTAATTTTCTGTAAGCCGGGTGGCTTACAGAAAGAGGAAAGAAAGAAAATAAAATGAAATAAAAATAAAATAAGACAAGTTAAAACGACACAGATACATTCATTTCAGTCATGGCTGGACCTCAACAATGAGGTCAACAGCCCCAGGCCTGCCGAAAAAGCCAGGTCTTGACAGCTTTTCTGAAGGCCATGAGAGTGGGTGAGGTCCGGATTTCTGGGGGCAGTTCGTTCCAAAGGGTCGAGGCAGCCACAGAGAAGACCCTCCTCCGGGGAGCTGCCAGCCGACATTGTCTGGCTGACGGCATCTGAAGGAGGCCCACCCTGTGGGATCTCACCGGCCGTTGGGAGGAGTGTGGCAGTAGGCGGTCTCGCAAATCAAAACTGGCGGCCTACGGGCCAAATGCATCACACACAGGCCACACCCACCCCAGTTCCACGAAGGGGAAAAATGTCACAAAACATCACGTGACGGCAACATGGGGCCGTGAGTTTGATGCCCTGTACCTTAGACGAAATATACTCTCTTTATTTAGGATTCCTAAATAACATCTCTAGTACTCATTTTTCCTTGCTTCCCAAGTTGTTGAAGAGCCAAATTGAGTTGGTAACCAAGTGCATGAACAGGAATCGTTTTAGGCTGAATCCAGCTCTCCCTTTACAGGACTCGGCTGAAGAACAGCCTCTAAAAAACACTCCAGTGGAAGAGGAGCCTGATTCTCAGCCTGATGCCCAGGTGGACCAGTTATCACCTGAAGAAGACTATGACGAAGATGAGGAAGATGAGGAAGCCGATGATGATAGTTTGGATGAAGAGATGAAGGTATAACGTTAAACTGCTGTATGACCCCTATCAATGAAATTCACAAGGAAGTTTCTTATTGTATTCCTAACCTAGATTGTGTTTACAAAGTTGTTCCCTCCAGGGAAATGTGTGCAGATTTGCTTATTTTATTTATTCAGTTCCTTATGGTTTGCACGACTTGAGAAGAACTGATCAGTAAATTATGTATTGAGGATAAGGGAAAGAAATGTTTTACTAAACTTTGACCAAATCTTTACTGGTCGCAGAAGTTTGCGACATTAGTTGCATGTATTCAAGCTTCCAAAACAGCTTAATATCCTAAATTACATAAAGAATTCTGCAAGTGCAGATTTCTAGATGATAAATAATCCTATTTCATATTTGGATACGTAGATAAAATCGGGTAGGGAGAGGTTTGCTTCCTTCTTAAGGAACTTTTCAGGTATATAGAAGAAACATAGGTTGAAGAGCCAATAATTGATTTTGGGAGTTGATGGCAAGACGAATTGATGCAAACATTTAATAATACAATACGATGTTGGCTATGTAATAGTATACATGTGGTTGTATGCTATGAAAATGGAAAAATTAAAAAAAAACTTAAGAAAAAGAAGAAGAAACATAGATTGTGATTAGTGTGAATAATGCAATATCTTTGATTTAGTGCAAATCATAAATTGATGCCAGGTTTCATTTAAAGCAAGCCAAAATCCATAGCACCAGGCTATCACATAGCTGAGTTTTTAGGTGCTAATCATCCTGTGTGTGAAATGTGGAAAAGAAAGGTTCTTTTCAAAGAAAACTTGAAAATTAAGAACTATAGCAGAATACACTATGAATATGGGTTTATCTTCTTTTACTGTTATATAGTATTTCATTAATAAATCCATAAAATTTATATTTTAAAATTTTAATTGCCTATTTCTGTGAAACAGGAACCAATTCTGTTTTCAATAGAAATATTACTTTGAGTAGTGCAAATTTGATTCATGCGACCATTAATCAGCCACATTAATCAAGACCTATAAAAACACACTGGTTTGGTGAAATTTGTGGTTTAAGCAAAAATAAACATTTTCTTCAATGTTCGGAACGTCTCCAAATATTTAAAAAAGAGCATGTATTCCTCTGGAAGTAATTGAATGACAGTTCCCACATTTTTGACCAGGCTACCTGGAGCTTCTAGGAGTTATAATTCAGTGGCATCTCCCATACTACCCAGATCCTTGCATTGCTTTCCAAGTCTTTAAAAATAAACTAGAGGGAAAAAAATATAATTGTCATTATGTCTGCCGCCTCTTATTGTGTTTTGCTTTGCTTTATTTGCAGATTTTTTTCTCTGTAAAGCCAGATATTCCATAGAGAGTTATGCATGCAATAGTCATTATCTGTCTTGCAAACCATTTAGACTAACAGTGTTGTCTGCTACATGCTAAACAATTTAGGAGAGATTTAAAAGATGCCACAAAGTCAAGAGCAACCTTGGTGGCCAAGTACATCTTGCACTTGGAAGACTGAGCACTGGAGAGGACAAGAGTCACAAACATTAGAATGAGTTGATTTGGGGAAGGACTTGGGGGGGGGGNCTGGTAGATGGCACCCGGAGGAGGCCGACCCTGTGCGATCTAACGGGTCTGTGGGAGGTAATTGGCAGCAGGCGGTCTCTCAAGTTATAACCCTAACCCTAATTTTTTTCCCCATTTTATTGTCATCGCGCTTTTGTCGATGCGATTTTGACATCACGAATTTGTGGGCGAGATTTTGTCATCGCGCTTTTGTCGGCGCGCATATGTCTATCGCGCATTTGCCGGCTCACGGTCTCAATTGCTCTTTCTCTCTTTTTGAGGCAAGATACTCAGTTGCCAGAAATACCTTATGGTGTAAATCAGCAGTCTCCATCCTTTTGGGCTTGGTGGACGGGGGAGGGGATGGTTCTGTGTGAGTGGCAGGTGAACACGCAAGCATGTGCAACTCCATTTGCACAAGTGGAGCTGCGTGTGAGCTTGCCCACTGTTTGTGCAGCTCAGTTCTGAACACACCATGGCCCGGTAGTGGGTCATAGCTGTGAGTTTGGGGGCCCCTGCTGTAAATCTTCAAGACCAATTATTGCTGAAAATATCTATTTTTGATTAAAATAAAAACCAAAAAAACTAGTTTCATGATGGCAGTTCTTGTTTCAAAATTTTGGCCAGCCGGCTCTCACTCTTAACTGGCTTATTTCCCTTCCTGCTTCTCCAGGATATCTGTTGTAGAACTTCAGGCACACCCTGAGCTAGATGTTGATGGGGATGGGATCTTATCAGAAACGGAAGCCCAGGTAAGAAAGGAAATACTTAACTGTTCTGACCCCCCTCCTCCATCCAGTAACGAATGCCGAGACAAGCTTAGCTGGAATGTACTTTAATAGCAAGGAACCAAAACCTCGGTGGCTGAAAGCCAAGCAGAACAAACAGATAAGGACCTTGGCAGCAATCCAGCCTGCCAAGGTAGTTACAAAAGTTCTCCAACTTTTAGTCAACGCGTTGACTTCTGCAAAGAAGGGCGTGTGCACAAGCGGTCTTTTTATAGTCTGGAGAGGAGCCTAATGACCACCAGCTGAGTGCAATTACCTCCTGTTTCTGACGCCTATTAGCTCTTTGGTGCCGGTCATCCAGGAACAACTGACTACTGGCTTCCGGCTCACTCTCCCTTGTCTCCTCCCCACTGGTCCAAGGCTCAGGCGCCTCCTGGTGGCCAACCAGCCTCTGCGCCCTGCTCGGAGTCGGAACAGGGTCCTCCACATCCTCCAGAGCTGACTCATAGGGCCCCTCGCTGTCGGGGTCTGGTGGCAGTTCCAACGGCTCCTGCTGGGCCACAACAATTAATATAATTATTTCTAAGTCCAATTTATTCTCCCTGTCATGTGACAATCAATGTAAGGAAAACCTACTAGAAGTCAGTTATACAGCTTTTGCATTACTTACATCAATGTATTTACCTTTTTAAAGAGATCATATGAACACTTGTGAATTAAGTGTTGTGT